AGGTAGCATGATATTTTTACGCAGAGAGTATTAAATGGAAGACATCAGTGAATATAAAGTGTTCTTTTCTGTTTGGCTTATATATTTTGGTATGAATTTAAGTACACACAAAATTATATGTATAATTCTATTTTATTTTACATATTTAATTCTCTAATTGGGAATGTGGAGAAAATAGGCAACAGTCACTGTGCTGTTATTTACACTTGAGCTTATCTCTCCAGAATTTGTGTCTAGAAGTTTGTTTCTAATTGTAGTATAGAACCTTACTGTGAAAAGTTTCCTGAATTTAGTTTTTAAAAATAAAAATTCAGTGAAATTAATGCTTAATGATTAAAACTTAGGTATAAAAGAGACAAAGTCACTGTTCCAATCTGAGAATTTAATCTGTGGCCACAGTTGGCATAAGTTTTGGAAGGATGTTACAAACAAGCTAGGTTCTGTAGGTTTGTTCTTAAGTTGAATTTGTAGGTAAGTTGGAACAGGTACATTTACCTATTACCTGTAATAGCACTTGTTTGTAAGTATAAGTTGTGCCTCAATTGGATGTTTGTAACTCGGGGGCTGCCTGTATGTATCTTTAGGAAGCAGCATATTGTATAGATTAAAATGAAAGGAGGCGAAACTCTAAAAGCAGACGACCTGGGTTCAAGTCCTGGTTAGAAACCTAACTGTCTGCCTTATTACTGAACCTCTTCAAAGTCACTGCCTGTCCCGTGTAATGTAAATCAGAATACCCCAGTAATAAATGGAGCCCCTGTGTGGAACAGTGTCACGGGGTCATGGGACAATCTCTGGAGGAGCTGCTGCTGTCCCTGCTGCATGGGTTGTGCACTGCACTACTGTTTATAACAGAAAAGATTAGAAACAGCTCCCAGACCCAAGGTGGGGAAAGGGATAAATGATTTCTAGGGTTTTAGTACAATAGGCTCTAAAAAACCACTGCAAAAGAAAGTGTTGTGTCAAGAAACGATGCCCATAGTCTATTAGGAGGTAAAGCAGGGGGGGCACAGGTGGAGCACACCACCACTGGGCTTGTGCGTGTGCCTCACGGATTGTGCATGGGAGAAGATCAGAAGCATGTCATGAAAATGGAAAGTAAGTGTTCCATCTTCCACCTGAGGAGTGGGTTACAGGGAACTCTTTTTCTATTATTCATTTCCATAATGTTTAAAGTATTATAGGGGGGTTTTACGTGTGTTTGTTTAAATAAACTGTAAACATTAACTCATGAACTTAAGGGGCAAAACACACTAGTAACATCTGTCATTCACATTTCATTTAGAAACATAGTAATTGAAAATATTATATGTACTGGCAGCGCCCATAGCTCAGTTGGAAGGGTGCTCACCACATACACCATGGGTGGCGGGTTCAAATGCAGCCCTGGCCAAATAAAACAACAATGACAACTGCAGCAACAACAACAGAATAACCAGGCGTTCTGGCGGGTACCTGTAGTCCCAGCTACTTGGGAGGCTGGGGCAGGAGAATCACTGAAGTCCAAGAGTTTGAGGTTGCTGTGAGCTGTGATGTCATGGCACTGTACCAGGGTGACACAATGAGACTCTGTCTCAAAAAAAAAAAAGAAAATATTGTATGTACTGTATGATTTTAAGCTTATTTGTAGAAAGTTTAAAGTATTACTTGCAAGGCAGAACATTCATTCTTCCATTAAACATTTATTGAGCAACTACTCACGTTCATAAAAATAAGTGACCTAGTCATTGCCAGGAGAGCAAATGTGTAAACAAGTAATTACGGTTCTGTTAAGTGGTTTTTGTTTGTTTGTTTGTTTGTTTTTTGAGGAGACAGTTTCACTATATTGCTGTCGGTAAAGTGCTATGGCATCACAGCTCACAGCAACCTCAAACTTTGGGCTGATTCTCTTGCCTCAGCCTCCCAAGTATCTGGACTCCAGGCGCCCACCACAATGCCCGGCTATTTTTGGTTGTAGTTGTCATTGTTGTTTGGCAGGCCTGGGCTGGGTTTGAACCCCCAGCTCCCGTGTATGTGGCTAGCACCCTGGCTGCTGAGCTGCAAGCACCGAGCCAGTTCTGTTAAGTGTTAATGGAGGATAGAAAAGGAAACTAACTGTTGTCCAAGGAAATCTGGAAAGACTGAGTTTTGAAGAGGTGACCTCTGAACTCTTACAGGATGAATAAGAATTTGGGGGAGGGGGTGAGGGTGCAAGATGTCTGTGACAATGAGAACAACATATACAAGGAATTTGCATGATTTGGGGAATAGTTGGTGGGAGAATTGGGGTTCTGAAAGAAACTTTAAAAGTGAGTCTAAAGTACTGGTAAAATATTTGGGCAATTTCCTCTTGATGGTAGAAAGTAATGGAAATGTTTTTTAGCAGGGCAAATGAGTGACATGTAAAAGTTGATTAGAAAGTATTTTAAAAAGAAAACTCTGGTGGCTATTTGACAGAGGACACTGGAGTGAGAAGAGATGGGAAGTTAGTCACTGGAAGAAAGCTCTATAGTGGTTAAGAAAAAGAGCTGGACTCCAGCAGGCACATGCGAGAGAATCTACAGTAAGGAATGAGAGCAGCAGGTAGAGAAGGTTGCTTTGTATCTAAGGTAGCTCCTCTGTGCCGGCCCAGTGGCTCACACCTGTAATCCTAGCACTCTGGGGGGCGGAGGGGGGTGGATTGCCTGAATTTAGGAGTTTGGGACCAGCCTGAGCAAGAGGGAGACCCCCGACTCTAAAAATAGCCGGGCTTTGTGGCAGGTGCCTGTAGTCCCAGCTACTTGGGAGGCTGAGACAAGAGGATCACTTGTGCCCAAGAGTTTGAGGTTGCTGTGAGTTGTGATGTTACAGCACTCTACAGAGGGTGACAAAAGTAAGACTGTCTCAAAAAAAAAAGATAGCTCTTGTGTTTTTAACTCAACTGAAGTAGAAAGTAATGCTGTTAAGAGAAGATAGGAGCGGGGCGTGGTGGATTTGCACCACATAATCTCAGCTCCTTGGGAGGTGGGAGGATCACTTAAAGCTTGGATTTCTAGGCTGCAGTGAGCTATGATAACACCACTGTAACTCAAGCCTGAGAGACTGAGGAGGACCCAACCCATCTAAAAACTTTCTTTAAAGATAAAGAATCCGTACATTCAAGTATATCTGAAAGCTGTGATGCAGTCTCGTGGGGTAGTTGAGTCCCAAAGCCATTCATTGACTTGCTCATCACCATGTTCACGCAGCATTTTAAAAACTTAAATGTTAAACATAGCCCTTGTTAGTAGCAAACTATTAATACTCAGTTCCTAAGAGTTCTGTCTTTCTGATAGAGAAATAGAGCCCAAAATGACAATGAAAGCAAATGAGAAATGCTCGTATGTGTTGTATGTGTTTCTGTATGTGTTGAACAATTTTGCTTCCCATTTACTTCTTAGTAAACTTGGAATACCTACAGCAAACTCCACCTCTGGACTTGGTTAGCATCATGTGTAGAGCTCCACCTCCAAGGTTGTCTGTTTGTGGGGAAGGGTTCCCCCTGTGCACTCGAGGCATATAGACTACTCCAGTTCCACACATGGCCCATTAAAGCAGACTTTTGTCAATACAGTAGCAAGTTGATCTGTTCCTAATACAAATGAAACTGTTCTAAAATTAGGGGGTTGGGTTTCATGGGCCTTGTGTGAGTGGTCAGTTTAACCAAAGTTTATTTATTCAGCATTGTCAGTGGGGTGGGCTTGGACCACCCATATGGAAAGAAGGAACTTACTCCATTTTTGCACACGATGGTCTTGAATTGGGGAGATGAATGAAGAGAAGGGGCATCATGAATAGCATTAGGTCAGAACTCAGGCTGCCTGGGTTTGAGTATCATCCCTGAAACCAAACAGCTTTGTGATTTGTGCCAGACTTAACAATTTTGTGCCTCACTTTCCTCATTGGAATCATATTACTGCTGATTTCATTTGTTATTGTGAGGATTAAATGAATTACTGTATATAATATACATAGAACAGTGACGCATGATAAGTGCTCAATTCACATTAGTGCACAGGAGAAAAGGTTTTAGGTGTGTGCTCAGACTTGGTTCCAGTTTATACCTCTTCTTGCCCTGCCCGTCCTGACTCCTGGTGGTAATGGGAAGTTGGAGAGCTGGAAGGGATAAGGAGATAAAGAAGAATTATGTTAAAATATTTTAGTAATTTGTTTAGGACTCTGTTTTCATTGCCGTTGCTTCCCTACCCCCACAGAAGTAGAAAAAAATCTTTGTATTTAACTAAATTTCAACCCTATCTTTAGATGTTTCTTTACTTCACAGCTTTGAAATGGTATTTTGCTCTCCCCTTTTTCTTCCTAATTTGCCTTCTATCAGCTTTACCACTTAATCCTGCCCCCTTGATTTCAAAATCAAAAGCCTTAAACTTTTAACCACAACTCCCACCTGCTAGCAATTTCTGATCTATTTAAAAATAAGACTTAATTCAGACTGTAGTTTTTGATATAATTTTCTTGGTGTGAGCCAGTCACATAAAGAATGAAATAAATGGAGATTGGCAATTTTAACTAAAGTGTGCTTTGTATTAAATAGAATGTTTATGATATTTTAGGTATTCTGAGAACACCTGCATGTATTCCTTATTAAAGAATCTTGGGGGGGAGAGGAACCTTGGAGTTCCTAGGAAGGTGCTGTCACCAGACTGACTGTCTTGGCAGGTGGCTCATAGGCTGCAAGGACGTCCCTATCTTGTGTTAACAGTAATAATAATTATTTAGGTCATGACTTCCAAAATGATTTTTTGAAAACCTTTTTTAAAAATCTGTGCCTCTAGAGATGTCAATTTTTATTATTTGGTGGTTTCCTTTTAGTAGAGAAGAAATAGGTATTACAGGATTACCTTTCTTCTCTGAACACAGGCTTAAATCTGTTCTAATGAATTGCTTTATGTCAAGATGTGTTTTCTTTTTAAATTAGCACCCCTCCCACTTTTTTAAAAGTACACCAAATAAAAACCAACCATAATTTTTTTTCTGTATTATAGGTCCTCTTCCTGATGGATGGGAACAAGCCATGACTCAGGATGGAGAAATTTACTATATAAACCATAAGAACAAGACCACTTCATGGCTAGACCCAAGGCTTGACCCTCGTTTTGGTAAAGGTTCATCTCAAAACCTTTTTAGATAATTTTTGTATTTGAATTTGGGAAAGCACATTTACGTAAAGTAGAATTGGTTTATAGTGTTAGAAAATGACTACCCATCCAACTTTTACTAGCATTATGTTTATACTTCTCATTTAAACCTTGAGAAATTTAGATCTAAATCAGGTTTTTAGCCTAGGCTGCTCAGGTTGGGGTGGGGGAATGTCGTAGTGGCTGACTAAGCAGAATCACTCTTCCTTTCACATTTTGGGGGACAAAAAAGGATCTTTTAGAAGATTTAAAATGATCTTTTTAGCTTCAATAATAGGCTTTCACAACCCTGGAATATCAGCTTTTGTCAGTGACCTGGTGTGTGCTTGTGCTTAACTTCTGTGAGTGATGAGTACCACCAGTGCTTGGGTATTGTGTTTCCCGTCCTGGGTCAGGGGAAAGGTTACTCCAGAAATGGTCCAGTGAGGGCAGTTTCCCTTCTCTCTTTCTCTCTTTCTCTTTCTCTCTCTCTCTCAAATAAAAGTCCGTTTCCTTTTTTATTTAGGAAACAAAAAGCAAAATATATTCCCCTCCAGATTACCTCAGTAACTCACCATTTACAACCAATGAACTCTCCCCTCCCAGATGTATACATTCTGACAAGGACATTCTAGTTCTTCAGTGCCTTTTTGTTTCTCTGTCTATACAGAAGATGCCAATAAGTGTATGCACATTTTAAGAAAGGAAAAGGAATGTATTAAAATTGTAATACTCAAGTTATGTGTGACTTCTGCAATTACAAGAGGTGCTCTCAAATGTGATTTGCATTCATCTTTCATTTTTGGTATATAGTGAGTATTACAATTTTAATACAGCTTTTTTTCTCTTAAAATGTGTATACATTCTGGCAGTGCCTGTGCTCAGTGGGTAGGGCACTGGCTGCATACACCGAGGCTGGCAGGTTTGAATCTGACCTGGGCCAGCTAAAACAACAATGACAACTGCAATTAAAAAAAAAATGGCTGGGCATTGTGGTGGGGACCTGTAGTCCCAGCTACTTGGGAGGCTCAGGCAAGAGAATTGCTTAAGCCCAAGAGTTTGAGGTTGCTGTGAGCTATGATGCTACAGCACTCTACCAAGAACGACAGCTTGAGACTCTGTCTCAAAAAAAAGGAAAAAAATGTATATACATTTTTTGGCAGATACATATATCTGTATATATGTCGTTTTCTTTTAAGTATGTTGGGGGGGGGTTGTTGGTTTTTGCTGTTTTTAGCTTCTTCATCTATTTCAGAAATATTTTTCTAAAGCCATGGAGAATGGATCTAAAAAGAGGCAGATAATTGTGGTTTTGAAACTTTCATCTTAGGCTAGATGTAGCTAAATGAAAACAATGTGCATATTGCTGAGTAGGTCAGACTGAGGGGACTGAGACCCTTTGAAGCTTTACAGGGGTTGACCTGACAACAACTGCAGGGCCCTTACGGGAAAGAGGAATTAATTCTGTAAATGCCATCAAAACACAGCCCAGGGCGGGGAAGAAGAAGGAAACCTCTATCCGGAGCTAGTCAGGTAAAGTGACTTCCCTGCAAGGAACATTGTACACAGTTCTCCTGTGTCTTGTGTATACCTTTTTAAAAACAAATAATATTCGGATTTGCCCCCGACTGACTGAGTGGTTAGATTTATGGACTGAATAAACGAACCTCCTATTCAAATAAAAGGCAAAGGTGGGGTCAGGGCAGAGACTGTCATTCTGACAGATATCTGGTTTGGTTTAAATGCTGGCCTTTTGAGCTCTAAGACCTGGTTAGGTGTTAAAAAAGTAATGTGCTGTGTTAATAATTTGCAACTTTAGATTCTATTTAATATTTGAATAAGCTCCGTAGTTGAAAAAGGAAACCAAGGAAGTTAGAGAATTTAATAAATGTTGCCATTTGTATGGACTACAATAATACCAGCCATGTTTCCTTAAAGCATGTTTAATGAAATGAATATAACTTCCCCACATTTTAGAAATTTTAAAGAATGTTGTGGATTTTTTTTCTATAACATTAAGATTATAAAAATGACAGCTCTTCACTGAGGGCAGAGATCAGGAATCAGAACCGTGTTTCTGTTTTTGTTTTTTAAACAGTGAAATAAAACAACTTTGCTGTTAATTAAATAGAGCTATTCATTATACACACAGCTTGGCCTTCTGTATTAATTGGGAGAAGACATTAAAAAAAATACGGCCTCCCTACCTCCAATGCACATAGGCACACGATTTGTTTTGTTCACAAAAGTTTCATGAAATCCTCTGACTGCATTTAGTGTCCCTTTTTGGGCCTACTGTGTATGTGTACTCCAGACAGGCTTGACAGTATGCCAAGCTTTTTATTCTGTGGCCCAACTTTTAATCTGTTCCAGACCTTTTCAGTCAGAGAGCTCAAGTGTAACTGAAGGGAGGGAGCAAAGAAAAAACGTGGGTTTCTCTGATGTAGAGTGACAGCAAATAGAGACAAGCTGTTAGCTACGAGATTGGGAGTTTTCTTTGAAATCCGAAGTTCTATGTAGTGGATTATGTTTTATCTCTGTCAAAGAAATATAAACTGTCTCCTTCGTTCAGACCCTTGGACCATGCAAACATAAACAAATGGTTTCATGGTTGTAGAGTTTGCTGTCCAATATTCTTCAAATCTCTATTAAAGTATTAGTTCTTACTTGATTAGTTTAAATCAAGTAGTTGCATGCCTTTTGGTATCTTAGAGGTATACCCTCAGATAGACTTAATTTTGTTACCTCCTTCAGCCATCAACACTTTTTATACTATTTTTTCTAGATGGCTTAGAAATTATTTATACTTAGGATATAGTCATATGCTTTAAGATTAATTGTATCTAGACAGTAGAGGTGTGCCACATGAGGGGGGTCAGTCACATGGCCCCATGGCCCCATAGGTTATAATATCATTTTTTCACTGTACTTTTTCTATGTTTAGATACACAAATACTTAGCATTGCGCTATAGTTGCCTGCAATATTCAGATGGTATAGGTTTATAGTGTAGCAGAAATAGGCTATGCTATACTGCCTAGGTATCTAGTAGGCTGTGCCATGTGGGTTTGAAAAAGTGTGTACACTCTGTGGTGTTTGTGTGCGATGAAATCGCCTAATGACACGCTTCTCTGCACGTATCTTAGTTGTTAAGCAAAGATCAGTCCTTCACATCCCGTGTGATGTTAATAAGTTATGTAATTTTAGGAAGTCAAATAATTTGTTGTTGGTTTATTCTTTATTTGATTTTTTGTTCTTTAACATTTAAAAACTATTCTGTAAATAACAAAGATTTCAACTCTTTTAAATATTTACTCATGATCTATCAGTATTTGGTTATGGAACTATTGAGGATAGAAAGGGAAAAATGTGTATTTTGGGTAAAAAAGATTTTTGCTAACTAAAAATTATTAACAGATAAACCTCACAAAATTTTGTTTGGAAAAAGGTTTTATGAATCCTCTAATCAGCATTTTTCAGTGGGAATGCTGATATTCTGGACACTGCAGGACATTCAACATACCTGGACCAGTAAATGCCACACAGCCACCTGGTTATTATGATTCCTAAAACTACGAACAAATACGTTTTTTAAAAAATTTGGGAAAGGTTGGAGATCTTGCCCCAAATTTGAAACTATCCAAGGTTACATATGGTAGTTGAAAGTGACAGAACTGAAACCTTATGACACCTATACTTTATAAAAATTAAGAGTGAAGATAATTTTTTCTAAACATACCTAATCCCTGATATATGGAAATTTCAGAGGGAGGAAAAAGACAGTGATTTAATGCCCTTGTATCTGTATTGTGACTCATCTTAAGGAAATTACCCAAAGGTAATGAATTTGTAATTACAGGAGAGAATTATAAGATCTCTGGTCAGAGTAGACTTTGAAGCCATATAGTTAAATTATCTGCAATTCATACTCACTTCTGGCATATTCTTCAGAGATTGTCTTTCATCCTCAGCTTTGACCTTTCCCTTGACCATGTACTGCATTATAAGGCTTGCATCCTTTTATTATCCAGAAACTTAACTCCGTCACATTTGTGAATGCAGCTCTAATCCCAGAACTTTCATTAAGTGTGATTTCTCTAGTTTTTGTGTCTTTTTCTATTCTTTTCCGATTCACTCACCTCCTCCACTTGTCTTTCACTTTATTACTACCTCTTTAAATGTGGTGGTGTTCCATGGTGTTTTATATCTACATTATCCAGTGAGAAAATTAGTTACAACCTTGCCCGCACCTGGCATTTTCTATGCCAAAAATCTATTTTTCATATTGAGAGTAGCGGCCAGCACCCTTTTTCCATATGGTAGTTACATAATGTACTTGATTCAATTGAATTATGATATAGAAAAAATTACCTATGGAATTGGAAATCAAGAGACCCCAGTTCTTCTGGTATCACAGTATAACCAGCTGGTTCAGAAAGATGCCTAGCTTCCCTTGACATAATTTGATACATCTGTAAAATGTGACTGAGTTACATTAGTATCTTGAGACTGTTTCTAGTCTTTAATTAACCAAATACAAGATGCTAGATTTCAACTTTTTCCTTAATTGCTTTGCATACTTGCTTCAGATTACTACTTAATATCCTTTCTGGTAGGAGTGTTCTGAGGCTTCAGAGATACTTTCAAACTCTTTATCCACCATTTATGTTTAACTTTGGGTCCTCTGGTCACAGTTGGGAATTACTTTTGAAGAGGAAACAGAGAAATATTTCGGCCTTTAATCTAAATATAAGCTTTATCACATGGTGAGTATGCCCAGGTAAACAAATCTGATGGAGGGAGGAATATTTAAGTTTTATACTCTAAAACTCATGGAAGCATAAAGGAGATTAAACATGCATATTAGCAGGATTCAACTTTCCTGTCTTAAAGATGGTGCATTGTAGAAGCATATTTTTAAAATTTAGAATGCCTAATAATCTGACATGCTAGGAATTCTTTTTTGAGACAGAGCCTCAAGCTGTCCCC